TGCATGCTCACATAAGAGTCTGGTATGGATTTTGGGGGAGAACCCACGCCATTTTTATTCTTAATTTTTCATTGCCGGCAATTTTGTTTTTTCACATTCAGCTGTCATTGGAGAAACCAGACAGCTGATGAGTAATCGGTTGTTAATGATGCCACAGATGTCACAACCAGCTATTTTTCACACCGAACTCAGATCAGTCGATACATTTTCCACCAATTTGAATTCGAATCATTCTGAAAATGAATAAACAAAACTAATTCTAAAACTAAACGAATTCCGAAACAAATCTACAAAGTGAAATTGGTATCAAGATGAATTTATCCAATAGAAAACTAATTTTTCCATTCTGCACATGTCTAAGGCCAAATTTTATAAAGTGTATCATATGCAGGGTCATTTCAGAGAGGTCACTGTGTCTAATCATTAAAATGGAAGAAATGCATGATCATAAAATATATGTTCTTGGCATAACTGCTGAATAAATGGGCATGTGATGATTGGGGTGGGTGAACCAGTAAGAATGTTACTCAATTTTTTTGTAAGTCTCATATTAAATGTGAGGCCCAAAAAGATTTTGAAGTCCTCCACTGTTCTTTTCATTCATATGGGTGCGTATAACTTGAATTTGAAAAACTGGTAATACATTTTTGGGCATAAAGATTGCACTGGTCCATAACTGAACTTAATAATTGGTGAAAAATAGATTTAAAAAATCAATGGGTATAACATTTTTCATGTTGGCCTTAAAAGGGGGGATATTAGCAAGAGTTAGAGGGAAGCCATAGAGGGTTTTCAAGTGCATATGGGAGACTGGCATGGGCCCTATCCCTTTGGGGCTGACGTGACACCCCACAAGTACCTGGCCTTTCATGCAGAGGTACTGTGCTACTGGTGGTTGCCTGCTCCTCACCAGAATGCTTTTGTTTGGTGGGCACACGTCCTCCTCCTCTAATTCTGTTACAGAGCTACTACTTAAAACCAGTACATATTCCAAATCTGAATCTCATTCAGAGAGCTCCCCCCTGCTCTTGTCAGTCATACTGAGGATTTGAAATGCCTGCTCACGGATGAAGAATTTTTTAGACAGTGTATACTGGGTGTGGTCAAACACTGCTGTGATGAGGAAACTGGGACAGATGTGGCTGCACTGATGTGCACCAATATGCACTGATGGGTGCTGATGAGTCTGCACTTATCAGGCTGCACTATTGAGGCTCCACGGATGAAGTGGCACTGATGAGGTTGCACAGATGGGCACTGTAAAAAGTCTGAAAATGTGTGACTGTGTTGCAACAAACAGTCCTTCCCTCACATGCCGTGTCTGTGTGAGAGAAGAACTGTCAAACTGTATATGACCTGGGTTTGTCTACATTTATGACTGCGTGTCATTATACATATCGATTGCATAATTAAGGGCCATAGTGATTTGCCTTTACCACAGTCTGTCATCGCTGTGTCCCTGGACACAGCACATCACAGACACTTCCTGATGCAGGCCCCGGAGGGGTGCGCGGAAAGCAAGTTCTCGGGAGAATGTCTATAGATGCCCTCCCAGAATAACAAAACTGCGTTATAGCTGTCTTTCAGCTGTAGCTTAGTATTGAAGTGGTTAACCACTTGCCCTCCAGAGGATTTACCCACCCCTCCTTACCGACCAGGCCATTTTTTGCGATATGGCACTGCGTTACTTTAACTGGCAATTTCAAGGTCATGCACCGCTATACATAAATAAAATTTGTCATTTTTTTCGCCACAATAGAGCTTTCTTTTGGTGGTTTTTGAACATCTCTGCTATAAACACCAACCTGCTATAAAAAACAACAGTCTATTTTGAAAAAAAAAAAAAAAAAAACTATTTTTGACTGCTGTGCAGAGAAAGCAGTTTGTCCATGCTGACAGGAAAGAGATCTGTTGTGTTTACACATAGATCTCTCCCCTCTCAGCTTTAGTGGCAATCACCGAGTGCCGGCCGAGAATCGGCAACAGGGACCCGTTGATTGACATCCACTCCAACCAATGTCAGCGTAGGTAGGGCAGCACGCACCCCCTACCCGGAACCACAAAATCAAGTATATATATGCACATGCAATTTTGAGCAGAGCAGCTGCCCTCTAGCAGTATATCTGCTATAGGATGGTAGGCAAGTGGTTAATGTATGTTTTACCTGTCAAAGCCTCAAGACTGTTGATGGGTTCGGCCATCTTGCAGGTGATGTCAGCAGCCCCAGTAAACTCATAACTTTCACTCTACAGATAAATGGTTAAGTAGGGAGGGTGGGAGGCAGAGGTGTTGGGCCAGCACTGAAAGTAATTAGAGATTCCCAAAAGGGGTCAAGGAGGGAAAGAACATGCTAGGAAATGTACTCTCCTGGAGTCATCAAAATTTTCTAGTAAGTTCAAAGTCACGTTAGAAGAGTAAAAAATAGCATGTATGGTTAGGAAAAAAGACTTCAAATAAGAATTTAAATACTTGATTTTTCTGTGCTTTTACCTACTATTTTTTAAGTTGTGACAGGGCCTCTAGAGTAATTAACCCTTTTGTGATGGAGGGTAAAACAAATCCTAATGCCTGAACACACAATTTTGGAACTACGGCTTGACTTCGTAAAGCTGTGCATATCATCACAACTACTTTGTGTGTCCAGGTGAACTATACCAGGTTTTTTTTTTGTCAGGGCAAATTGGGCATTCAATTGGTGGCAAATGGTAACGGATATCGCCTTTTTTTTGTAATTAATAAAAGGTAAATTGGTCCAAAAATAGTAAAAAAAAAAAAAAAAAAAATGCTGTATTTTTCTTGCTATTACCATAACTCAACCAAAAATACCAAAATTACCATAACCAACTCAAAATAAAAATTCTCCTGCTCCTACCACAATGATACCATATAAGCGTACAGTATGTAATATGTGGTTGTAGAGCCCAGAAACATTGGTGCGCATTGTTTCCTCTTTGTATCCTATAACACAATGAAACTCGCACTAATACTAATTTTTAAAAAAAAATTTTTTTTTTAAATCCTACCTAAAATATACTGACTCTGATCTAGACATTGACATTAACTCTATCTCTGACACTGACCTAGATCAAACCGTGATCTAACTCTTTTTTTCTTTTATTGTTTTAATTTATTTTACATGCTTTTTTTTACAAGCATTTATTTACATTTTTCTCCTCTATCAAGGAGAAAACGTTTCAAGGTATATTGTATACAGTGGCTGATCCCCGTGATAGCCAAACAGAGGCTATCACAGAGATCAGGTGATCATGAACCAGACTTTCTGGTTGGTTCTCAATAGTTAGTATGGGACCTGGGATTCACGGTGAGCAGTGCAGTGTTCTCCCAGCACAAATACATGTATGTATATATGTAGCCTTATGAAAGAAGATCTACTTCCATGAGGCTGGATGTATGGCAGCAAGGAGTTAAAAGATAAAAATGTTTATGTATTGGGATAGCAAAGTGAGGGGTTATGTTTTATTGCCATTTAGGTCCCCATTAAGGGCACCGTTACCACGACTGTACATGATAGCCAAAGGAAAGGAAAAATCCACAATCTGAGGCGTAGTCTACAGGCAGGGACTGCTTAGGAAGCAGACTTGGCTGATTACAGATTTTCTGTAAGTGATGTCATCAGTGTGTGGCTCCACTTTCACATTTATTTGTTGACAAATGTAGTCCCCTTATGTCATCTGTCCTCCATTAAAGCTAGATTGCACTCCATTAGCATCTTCCCTGGCAACAGACGCCAGGAAAAGTGACACCCGAAACTAGAAGCGTTGTTATACAGAGCCGCCTGCTCTCTTTCATCAGACAACTGAGTCAGCTTGTGAAAGACACACAATATATATGTATATCAGCTGGGAGTGTGTGTAAAACACTCCCTGCTGCCACTGAAGTAAGCTGGCAGCAGTAAATGGGTTAATTTCCAGTATAGCAGCACTCAGACTGGGAGAGCAAGGGATCCATTGGTCAGGTCTTCTAAATACAAATATGCTGAAAAAAGAAAAACAAGTTGGTAGGAGGCTAAAGCAGAGTGAGCAGAGAGATGAGCTCATTAGTCTGCTGCTGCTTCACTGTCCAATTGAGAGGCTCGGGTGGTGTTGGCAGTGTTTTAATGAACTGTAAAAGAAGAAGCACTGCAATCTGCCTGGTCCTCCTGGCTATGTGGCAGAGCTATGTAGATCTCGGTAGTGAAACACAAATGCTTTGGCAACTGTAACAGTTCACATTATATGTATTTCACCTGTGTAATTAGCAGTTTACGTGGGATTTAGCTATTAAGTAAACATTTTTGCTATATTTGCTGCTATCTGCACCAAAAAGTCACTCTGCAACACTACATTACTACAGAGAAAGAAAGAGGCAGATAATAAAATTACGGTAAGAGAGAGAAACAGATATGGAAATAGAAAAAGGAAGTACCTAATGCCTCTTGACATCCAACCAGGACCCGAGGTTCCCCCACTTAATCCCCAGACATACAAAAATGACAATGGTGGTTGCATATATTTAGGAAGGGTTTCCATGCTTCTCTCCATTACACTGGTAAATTATTATAGGCAGATGTTTAAGGCTGAAAACTGGCCCCGTGTAACTGCCATTAAATGATCTGTGAACACTGGAATAAGGACTAGGAAAATTTGACAACAAAACCATTTACTTGTTCTGTGAGCAAAAACAAAATAATTCCATTACACCTTAAACTCCTGGTGCAAGAATGGCCAGGACCCAAAGCAGTAAGGCACCACAGCAGCAGATTTATCACACCAAATGTAATTCAGAGCTAGGCCGCTCCTATACTCCATAATGAATATGCAGACACAGGAACATCTGAGCAGATAAAGCACATTCTTTGATAAATGAAAATCATCTCCTAGACTGTGCTGGACTTCCTGGATGTAGTGCAAGTATACCAACAATCACACTTTGTCCTAAAATCACCAGACAGTTCACAGTCCTGAAGTAGCATGTGGCTCTCTCGCTGTTCTTTTTTCAGATTAATTCTGTTCCAGGTTGTTGAACATAAGGATTGAGTTGTAGATCTTCAGAGCAGGACCTAGCTTCAGCCCCAAAATCTTCACCAAATCATTACGAGTAAGCAGTAAAAAAGCCACGCCATCTATTTGCTGTGAAAAATGAAAGAAAACGTAATGACATTGACCTATTTTGTATTATTGAGACAATGGACAAAAACAAAACAGTATGCCTAAAGATTTGCAGTGTGTAGGTGGATCACATGTCTAGATTTTATGTACGTCTATGGTGCTTTGCAGGAGATAGATAGAACAGAAATATGGACACAGAACCAACACCAGACTAGCTATCAGCATTTTGTCTATTCATACCTCTTCTTTGAAAACAGAGGCTTGTTCTGTACAGCCTGGCAGCTGCTGGACAAACTGAGCAACCTGTGGAGGACATAAGAATGTAATGGTGACAAGATCTTTGGAACTGTCTTTACCATAACCACATTATGTTTACCTAAACTGTGCAACAACAAATCATACACCAAATTTCCTAATATTTTCTCCCAGAGCTTTCACTTTACATGTAGCCTGCAGAAATGCCAGGTTATCCTATAAATCTCAAATCCCCCAGCAAGTTCTTACTTCTTCAGCTGTCCACTTGGTTACAGTTTTTGCACTATATGCCGACACTTCAGGTAGCAGGTGGCACTGCTGTTCCCAGCACAGGTGAATTCGATGACCAGGGTCAGGGGACAAGGATGTCATAAACACTGATTCATGAAGCGCTTGCTCCAAGCTTAGTTCACAGTCTAAGGGAGAAAAAAAAAACTATATACTTTTGTGTGTAGAAAGCTTACATCTAATGGTAGACAATGCAAAATAAGGATTTTTGAGCTGCCTGCAAAATAATTTTCTTGGAATACAGTACATGCTTCCATTTATCAAGACCATGGGTTATCTTCTGCCACCCGCCAGTGAATACAATGGCAAGTAAAACTGTAAGGTCAGCCCATATAACCCCTGCTACTAGTAGCAATCCTTAGGGTTTTTTGTTTGTTTGTTTTTATCAAGCAATAAGAGAATATGTGTCCCTGTCCTGTCCTGTGTTTTACAGAAAAGTCAAAAATCTCTAAATACAGTACAGGACAAAGGATTCCATTAATTAACACCAATGGACATCACCAAGCAATACAACTGAGGGGTCAGAAATACTGTAAACAATGCCAACAATCCCAAAATAAGGGGATAACATTCCCAAATTCAAAGCGTGGGTAGAAGCACCTTACACACAAAGCTGGTGTCCGTAAAGGCCTGAACATTCACCTGGTAAAACTTAAATGTGTAACAGAGGACCAGTTGGCAGCACGTTGAAAATCCCGAGAGGTACCGATTGAACGAGTTGAGTGAAAGATTCCTAGGCTTCAAAGCAAAAGCCTTTGTGATCACCTATGCTAATTATTCTTATACACAGCTCTGTCAACAATTCTTATCTGCCAATGAAATAAAGTCCCATCCATCCAATGTGAAGTGCTCTTCGCAATAAACAGTTCAAAGTGCAAATCTATTCTATTTGTGATCTTTGTGCTTCATTCAAAAAACACTTGTGTTCTTCCACACTCCAGAGAATATTGACCCTGTGCCTTTCAGCATATGGGTCAAAACCTACTGGGTATTTCCAGTGGTCTTCAGCCTCTCAACATTCCTGCTGTCACTATCCAACTTCCCCTGTCACAGTGGTGGGTTTGATCCTGGAAGCTTGTATCACTCAGATAAAGCGAAACAAGAGGGGGAACCACCATAGTGTAGCCTTTCCTTTTTATGTATTTAAAAAAAAAAAAAATTGCCATTGCACTCACATAAAAAGGAATCTAAAAACCTTGTGTAGACCCGGAAGCACCGCCAAGTTGGATGGTGACAGCAGGAGCACCTTTAATACCTTTACCAGCGTTAAAGCAGAGGTCTTTGAAAGAGAAAGGCCAAAGGCACCACATCAGGGATAGGTGAATGACCCTTAGCTTGAGAATATTGATGGAGAGTCTAGACTCCCTCAAGGACCACACTCCTTGAACTGTTTCCATACCCCTCCTCAGCCTGATAGGCCACCATCCATTGTAAAAAAAAAAAAAAAGTCCAGGTTAACAGGAGAAAGGACTTCCCCGATTCTAGCACAGAACTGGAAAGGCACATGGGTCAGTCCAGAGACTGAGAAGGTTTGTCCCACACAGCACACTGAGCTGCAGAGGCCTGGAGTGCGACTGGGAAAACATCAAAGCCTCAAAAGATGACTGCCATGAGGCCCAGTAATCCCATGTAAAATCAACTGAAGGAAGATTCTTGGAGCAAAGAGTCTGGACATGAATATAGAGGATCAACCCCTGTTCCCAGGAAAGAAACACTCTGGCCTTGGCCATGTCAAAGACTTGGCCCAGGTACTCCCAGCAGAGGGGTGGGATCCAAAGAGAACTTCTTGAGGTTGAGGATCTAGGCAAAGCTCTGAAGTGTCTGTATTGTCCACCAGACATTGGTCGCGAGGGCCTGGAGGAAGATCTACTTCAAGAGCACAACGTACAGATGTCCAATAGCGTGGATTCCCTGAGCACTCAATAGCACAAGGATTGAGAAAAGAACCTTGGTGAAGACCCAAGGGGCATTGACAGACCAAAGGGAAGAGCCACAATATGGAAGAGCTGATCGCCCAATGCAAAATCGCAGGCACCACTAATGCAGGGAAAAAATGGAACATGTATATCTGTTGGAAGCTGGAAATTCCCCTTACAAGAAAGTGTTGAGAACTTTTAAGTGTAGGATGAAGTGGATAACCCCACTGGGCTTCGAGACCATAGACATGTTTGAATAAAAGCCTTGAAATTGTTTCTCTGAGGGAACTGTAACAATCAGGTTTTGAGGACAAAATACGGGGAGGAGGCAGAGATCAAACTCCCAGCCTGTATCCCTGGGACAGTATGACCCAAAGATCTGAAATTTCCTGATTCTAAGTGGCTGAAAAAGGCAACAGATGTACTCCCCCACACTTGTAGAGTGTGGGGGCTCCTTCCCTGTGGAGAGGAATTGGTGCCAGACTTGGCTGTCTTGGACGTCCAGGACTTGTAACAAAACTCAGTGGATGACATGGCTTCAGAAACGGGAGGTCTTAGAAGGATGAATGGAGCACTTTCAAATTCTGTAGGCGGCTAATTTTGCTACAGGTACCTCATCTTTCTTCTTACTAGGCAACAGTGTGCTCTTTCTACCCGTGACTTCCTTAACAAAAAGGTGTCTAAGGACTCCTCAAAGAGCCATTCTCTACCAAATAGAACCCATTCTAGAAGTTTCTTAGAGATTGTCTCTACAGACCAGGTCTGCAGCTGGAGATTCCTGCGCATCTGAACTGACAGAGTCAAGTGAGAATTTTGGTGTATGAAAGTGGTTGTAAAGGCTGAAGGTTTTTTTTTAGCTTCATGCATTCTATGCATGAAGATAGAAAAAAACCTTCTGTGTGCTGCTCCCCCCACAGCTGTCAATCACAGCCAGTGAGCCAATTAGGAGAGAGTGGAGGGTGGGGGTGGGGAAGAGCTGTGACTTTGTGTCTTATGGATGCACAGAGCTAGTCTTGGAAGCGAGCACGCACCAATGTCCCCAATGCAAATGGCTTGCTATTTGGGGTACAGGTTAAGGGGAGGAGCCACAAGTGCCAGCAGGAGACCTGAGAAGAAGAGAATTGGGGATGCTCTGTGCAAAACCACTGCTCAGAGCAGGTAAGTATGACATGTTTGCTTTTGTTTTTTATAAAAAAAAAAAAAAAAAAAAAGCCGAAACTGCAATGCCACTTGAAGTCCACCAAACTATCTACACAGTAGTGCAAGGCTACTAGGAGGAGCTCCAAATTTGAGTACGAAGGGATCCGACAGGGCTAATTCAGGGTTGCACTTGGCTGAGACTGCTAGAGTCTGGCAAATGGCCTTTGAAACCACATTCTGTTTCATGGCTGAGCCTGCCCTTTCCATTTGCCATGTGCCTGATGTCTGCCATGAGGGGATTCCTTGAATGGTACTCACACTTTCTTGCCATGGAGCAGAAGGGGTGCAGCCATCCTGTCTCTCACAAGTGAAGGCTAATGTATAACACAGTAAAGGCTGATGCAGAGAAGTGAGCCACAATTTGGAGCAGGATAATGCTGGAGAAGTGCCTTATCTGTAGGAGGGCATTAGTTCACACAGAGGCAGGACTGTGCACATAAATCTGGCCCTTGCATGCCTGAATTTGTTGCAGGGGATGCAACAAGATCTACTCAGCTGTGAGGAAAATCTCCCTCACTTTCCGGACAAATCGAGAACTGGACAAAATTTGCACAAAACAAGACCAGTTTAAGTGTGATGAAAGTATTAGCTCTATCTATGTTAAGCCACAAACTGAAGCCACTGCCTTGACTTATACCTGACATCCCACTGTTCAATGTGGTGCTGAGGACAGTCTTTGAGCAGTGGGATGGCAGGTGATCTGCTAAAGATTCAGAGTCCTAGCCCACTGGATGTAAAAGGTTGCAAGAAAAAAAAAAAAAATGTCCCTTCAAATGGTGGAGCTTCCTCTTAACCTCCAACCCATGCATCAGTTCAGTTACTGTAAAAGCAGTCATGCTAACCTGTGCCATCTGTGTCCTGTTTAATCAGCTGTAGGCGGATATATGTGTGAGTACCCCTATAAAAGAAAGCAGCAACAAGTAATGAAAATTAGAACTACATACAAAATATTAGGTAATAAAAATATTTTACAAAGTAAAACTCCTCTCTTCTCTCCCATGGGTTTTCTGAGAATAACAGTCATAAAATCATATTGCACATGGCATCGATATTGATGGTACTATTATCCTATATTACATGGATATACCCAAAGAAAAGAAAGAAACACAGGGAAAACACAGCTACCACGCAGTACCCAGCAACAAATAAAAAAAAACAGCACAACAAAGCATCTACAATGTAGTTTTTAATTAAATGTTTGTGGAAGTTGATGATTTGCTGTATTGCTCTCTTTTGTTTTGTTGTGAATTACTATTCCTGGAGACCCCACTCCTCTCCATCAAAGCTGTCTGCATGAAGAATCCATCACTTTTGCAGTAATAGGTTTTGTTGAGCATTGTTCACCATTTGGGACTACCTCTGCATTAAAAAGGGATTGATTTATTTTATGCTTTTATTTATTGTTCCACGCTATTATTATTGTAGTTTATCCCAATACCAATTTAGATCACCTATATGTTTTTTTTTACATTACAGTATCCCACTAGATTGTGTTCAGTGCTGGTTGAAGAATGGTGGAATCTTATCCTTGTTTTATCTTAGTGTGCTGATAAAGTAGAAATTATTGTACCACTATGTGTTTACACACTTTACCTATGTGACAAGTACAACTGAGTTCTCATACTTATTATTATACAGGATTTATATAGCGCCAACAGTTTGCTCAGCGCTTTACAATATAACTTGGTGACATCTACGAGGTATCTCCACGACCACACTGCTATCTGCATTTCCAGTTTCAGATAGTGGAATGTCCTGGAACCCCAAGTGGTTCCTAAGACAAACAAGTCCTCAACAGCTTCTGCAAACTGCACTTTACAGAAAACACAGCTAAACCATTTTTAAACATACAATTTTAGTCTGACCAATAGGCTGCCAAGGCCTGCATAATAAGATATAGTAATCACACCACATATGTAAAAATAAAAAAAAAAAAAAAAAAAAAAAACACGGTTTACAATACTTCATAAAAATGCAAATAATTTTGGACCAATTGTATTATTTTGTGTTACACACCACAATGGAAGATGTTTTAATCGGAAACAAACCTCACATGGCCAGTGCCAAGGTTCAGACTTTCACAACCTATACCTAGTTAAAAGCACTCGGCAAACCGCCTCACTTGTCAGCTGAGCAAATGGCATTGCTTCAAAGCATGCAAGAAAGTAGGCAGAGTTTATACCAGGAAGTCATACGAACATACCCAGGTGGAAGATTGAAAAGTTTGATCCCCGACACCTGCAGTCTTGCTCTCGATTATAACAGTTTCCTTCACAGCTTGAATACCGTCGACTTGTAAGTTAAGTTCTACAGACTTAGAAAATTCAGTTTGTCAATAGATAGCTAAACTGGCTAAAAGACCGTATTCTGAGAGTAGTGATTAATGATTCATACTCTGATTGCTCTAAGGTTATCATAGTACCCCAAGGTTCAGCTTTGGGACCCTTACTTTTTAAATGAAAGAGTTTGGGATTAAAAGTACCATTTCAGTGTTTGCAGATGACACCAAGCTATGTAGTGGAAAAGCATCCTTACAGGACGTCTGAAATTTACAAGCAGAGATCAATGCACGATTCTAATGGACAACTGTGTGGAAAATTAGGTTTAATGGTGATACATGTAAAGTTATGTACTTGGTGGCTAAAAAGATGCATGCATCATACATTCCAGGAGAACAGCAATGGTGAATGATCTGGGTGTTCTGGTAGATCATAAACTTAATAGCAGCATGCAATGTCAAGCTGCAGTTTCTAAAGTAAGTAAAATACATTTTTGTATTAAAAAAGGAATATGATGATGCTGTACTTCACTGGTGACAATTAAGTAAAAAAAACATTTTTATTTATTAATTAAAAAAAAAAAAAAAAAAAAATACAACTTCAAAAAACTTGCCGTGCCTCTTATTAAATACCACAAACTATATACTTTCCAAAAAGAGGTAATTTGGGGGGCATTTGTACTGTCCTGAAATCTTAGGGGCCTAAAGACATGAGATATGCAGTTAGTACATTAGGACTGATCAATTTTCAGATACTGGAGTAGGACACAATTATGGAAACACCAGGTAAAAGCACAAAATTGTTACATAATATGGTGTTGGACCGCATTTTGCATCCAGGACAGACTGGATATAAGTTTTGGATGGTAGACACAAACATGTCCGGTGATTGGGAACAGTGTGAAGCTGAATTCATTGGACCATATTACAGTCTTCTATTGATCAATAGTCCATAATTTATGGGCTTTGCACCACTCTCTTCTTTTCTTGACATTAATATCAGTCACTAGAGGTTTGGCAATTGCAGCTCGCACGTGTATATTTTGCTCATGTTGTTCCCTCTGCAGTTTTTGTGGACACAGGCTTTGGAAGACTGAGACTGAGCTCTGCAGTCACATTTGCAGTAGTTGTTTTCTTCTTCCGGGTCACAATTCTGCGCAATGTCCTTTTATCTCATTCGGTCAGTTGACCATGTCATGTCAACTGCGCTTATGCTTATCAGCCTATCAGACGATTTCCCTGAAAACTGTATGCCATCACACAGTGCATCCAGAAAGTATTCACAGCGCTTACGTTTTGCCACATTTTGTTATGTTACAGCCTTATTCCAAAATGGATTAAATTCATTTTTTTCCTTAACATTCTACAAACAATACCCCATAATGACAAACATGAAAGAAGTTAGTTTTGAAATCTTTACAATTTAAAAATAAAAAAAAAAAAATCACGTAGATAAAGTATTCCCAGCCTCTTTGCCATGAGACTCAAAATTGAGCTCTGGTGCACCCTGTTCCCACTGATCATCTTTGAGATGTTTCCACAGCTTGAATGGAGTCCACCTTTGGGAAAATCAGTTGATTGGACATGATTAAGAAAGGCATAAACCTCTCTATATAAAAGGTCCCACAGTTAACCATGCATGTTAACTGCAGGACCGTCCTAGAGCGGGCCACCTGGCCAAAATGAGCGATCAAGGGAGAAGGGCCTTAGCCAGGAAGGTAACCAAGCACCCGATGGTCACTCTGAAAGAGCTCTAGCGTTTCTCTGTGGAGAGAGGAGAACCTTCCAGAAGAACAATCATCTCTGCAGCACTCCACCTATCTGGCCTGTGTGGTAGAGCGGCCAGACGGAAGCCACTCCTCAGTAAAAGGCAAATGGCAGCCCACCTGGAGTTTGCCAAAAGGCACCTGAGGGATTCTTAGACCATGAGATACAAAACTCTCTGGTCTGATGAAAAAAAGATTGAGCTCTTTGGCCTGAACGCCAAGCGTCGTGTCTGGAGGAACCAGGCACCACTCACCACCTGGCCAATACCATCCCTACAGTAAAGCATGGTGGTGACAGCATCATGCTGTGGGGATGTTTTTCAGCAGCAGGAACTGGAAGACTAGTCAGGATCGAAGGAAAGATGAATGCAGCAATGTACAGAGACATCCTTGATGAAAACCTGTTCTAGAGCGTTCTGGTTCATCTTTCAAAAAGGACAACGACCCTAAACACAGCCCACATAACAAAGGAGTGGCTACGGGCCAACTCTGTGAATGTCCTGGAGTGGCACAGCTAGAGCTCAGACCTGAACCCGATTGAACATCTCTGGAGAGAACTGAAAATGGCTGTGCATTGACGCTCCCCATCCAACCTGATGGGGCTTGAGAGGTACTGCAAAGAAGAATGGGAGAAATTGCCCAAAAATAGGCGTGCCAAGCTTGTAGCATCATACTCAAAATGACATGAGGCAGTAATTGGTGCTAAAGGTGCTTCAACAAAGTATTGAGCAAAGGCTGTGAATACGTATGTGCATGTGGTTTTTTGCATTTTTATTTTTAATAAATTGCAAAACGAACTTCTTTCACGTTGTCATTATGGGGTATTGTTTGTAGAATGTTGAGGAAAAAAATTAATTTAATCCATTTTGGAATAAGGCTGTAACATAACAAAATGTGGCAAAACTTAAGTGCTGTGAATACTTTCTGGATGCACTGTAACATGTGATAATGTACCTCACGACACGGCAAATAAATTGGCAACTTCAGTCACAGAGGCACCAGTTAAGCAGGCACCAACAATCTGTCCTCTTTGAAACTTGGTAAGCTCTGACATGACTCCGTATTAGTAGCAGCACACGCATGAAGTGAGGCTTCCCACCTGTTAGGTGTTTCGTCACACAGCAGAAGCAGAAAAATGGTACATCACTTCCACTTTCAATCTGAAACATGTCTTCATTTTTACACCTGCAAATCATGTAGTGTTTCTAGATTTTCGTCCAACCCCTGTATAAACCATAGTTTGTTTGTAGATGCTATAACTTTCACACAAACCAATTAAAATCAAGTAGTTAATTAGGAAAAAGGAGTAGTGTGAGCCTTCTTTGAATCACTCAGAAGCAGTGTATTACCCGTTCCCTGCTTTTCAAGGTGTATTTCACAAAATTGGCTAGTATCTAAACCTGTAAAAACTGTTCTTGAAAATTGCAATATTCCAGCTGCAAGTGGTAAATAGAACGTATTGCTCTTAACATTGTACACTAACTGAGTAAAACACACACCTATTGGCCTTAGCAGTAAAGTGTGGTCAAGACACAGAGAGAGAGGGCCCGTGCCCTGTACTGTACTCCAAGATAAGGAATTTCAGGCAAGTCATAATTCCTCTTATCTTAATCATGCAGTACAGGAGATAGCATTTGTATTTATAAACCATGAGATGTACCTAAACAAACTGAAGGGTGGGCAACAACACAAACAAAACTGCCAACAGACCCACAAGAAAACAAAGGGTTAAACAACTAATCAAAACACTTGGATAACTGCTTGAAGCACCTTGTGGATGAAGCTTGCATCATTCGAGGCCTGAACACCTACCTCATTGGAACTTGAAAACATGTGAACAGAGGACCAGGGGAC